TGAGAAAATCATAACTGGAACATGTACGGTACCATTTTGGACCATGCCTGACTCTACATCTTCATCAAAATTGTTATCTCCAAACAATCTCTTAGTAAGTGAAAGAGACGCTGAGCTAGATGATCCACCCATTGAGTGTGAATTAGAGTCTTCTGATGACATTCTTTCTGCATCAATACGATAAGAGTTTTATACATTATAAAAAATTGATCACAATTATTCAACCATAATATCAAACAGAAGGAGAATTACATGAACAAAATATTTTCACCTATTGTTTGATATAAATAAAAGAGCATAAAATATTGATTAAAAATTTATGATTACCTGTAACAACAATTGACGGAGCCTCCTTTGACGATATTTTTGTGTTCTAGATGAGAAAAAATAACCCGAGGTGTAACTGAAGAGATTGGGTGGTGAGGTTGTGGATTCTATGTGTGTTGGATGGAAGAACTCGTGGAGGCTGCATAGAGAAATGAATCAGACTTCAATTTTGCTAGGATTTAGTTTTTATTTTTTTATCTTATTTATTATTTATTAAACAAAATAAAATCCACATATACCTATTTTAAGCTTTTGAAAGAGATGCATTGAATTTATACATTCCAAATTAAAGTCTTCTCTTTTGACATTCATATTACATGAACTTACATTCCATTCATCATTTGACATGTGTTCAAATTGAATTAATTTTGAAAGTTGAGCATTGGAGATGCTCTTATGGTGAAGATTGGAAAACTGATAAAAAATTGAAAGTTAATTGTTTAAAAACGAGTAGTAGTTCTTTCATCTTTAAAGGTAATTGTTGAAAAAATCTCATTCCACCCTGTCATAGGCCTTAGCCATATCAAGCTTAGGAAATCCTTGTCTCTGGGGGCTAGATACCAAGTGGAAAGTGGTTTATCTATTAATATATGGAATTCTCCCTGGATTCCTGAATCCCCAAATTATAAACTTGTATGTTGCTTTCCTGGGGATAAGGAGAGGCTTTGTATGGTGTCTGACTTGATGATGGCAGGCCAAAAGATGGGATAAGGAGTTGATACTCCAAACTTTCAATCCTTCTGATGCTGCTAACATCTTAAAAATACATATAAGACAAATGCGGCTGAATGACAAAATGATGTGGCAATTTGATAAAAGGGGATTGTTTTCTGTCAAGAGTGCTTATCAGGCTATTCAAGCAGATAAGAGGAGAAGTTCAGGGGATGTGGAGGCAAGTGATGGAGAAAGGGTTATGAGGAAAGTATGGAAGAATGTATGGAAGTTGCCGGTCAAAACAAAATCAGGAACTTTGTTTGGAAATGTTGGCACAATTAGCTTGGCACAAATACAAGACTCAGACAGAAGGGAATGGAGGTGGATCCAATTTGTTGCTGGTGTGGGGAGGCAGAGAAGGACATTACCCATCTGTTTTTCACCTGTGTGAGAGATCAGAGGATTTGGAAGATTGTTGCGGTTACAGTGGACTAAGATGCAGGAAGAAGGTATGAGCTTTAGAGACTGGTGGGTGGATCTTAGTAATCTGAACAGAAACATCCACAACAGGAACATAAATACTCTCTCTACATACTTACTGTGGTGGATGTGGAAGACTAGGAACAGATGGCTATTTGAGAAAAAAAAAGTGTTTTGAGGTGTACTTGGTTGAAATGGCCAAATGGGAATGGTTGAAATTTGAATCAGTAGCTGCCAAGGATGAAACTCAAGGCCAGAGGGAAGAGAGGCTAGGTGGAGCTATAAACTCTGGTGTAGAAGGGGAGCAGAGAGTAGGGGGGATCTTGGGATCAACCAGTGCTACTGTTACACCTTTTTCATTTGAGGGACAACAAGGTAAAACTTGGACTGATGGTAAAATAGTGGTTACATGGTCTTGCTCTAAGGAGGGTTTAATTAATCCTTCAGTGGAGGGACATCTGCAGGCTGTAAGGAACAAGCTTGAAGAAAGGCTACAGAAGCAATGCCATAAGGTAGATGTTTGGTTCACAAACAGAAAGCTGGCAGGCATGTTGCAGAACCGAGATCATTTTAATACATTCTTTGTGTATGATTGCAGGAATATTTTTGCTCTTTGTGACAGACTTGTTGATGTTCAGTTTCATAGTATGTTGGCTTTGGTTTTGAGACTTTGTTTTGTGTGTGATTTGTAGACCGAAGTGGTCGTTTAGGGAATCTATCATTGATTCTCCCTTGTTTAATTCCCGGTCAAGGCATGGCTTGATGAATTCTTAGTAACTCGTTGGTTACCCATTTTTATAAAATTGAATATATTAGTTAATGAAATTTATTGTTTGGAAAAAAAAGTTCTTTCATTTTGAGATGGTCTTAGACTCTTTTTTGTTAATCTATTTACTATATAATTAGGGAACTCACTTTCCTTTTTTAGAAAGGTCATTTTAAAGGTCCCACTATGTAGTTTCTAATTTAGGGAAGTCTGAAAACCGTCAGCACACGTCAATAGTTTTGGGTAAGTTATTGTACATGGACATTTTCGTGATGGGGTGGAAATCAACACACCCCAAACTTTTTTATTTAATTTTTTTCTTCAAATATTATTCATTATAAAGTGGATTTTTCATTTCATTTATCACAGAAAAAAAAAAATCACATACACAGATCTCTAGGCACAACACAAGGTCTATAGAATTAAGTCACTGATCACAAAGTTTTATATTTCACAGGTATCAATTTATGATTAATTCTCACATATTATTTTGAATATGATTACATTCATCATAATATTATATTTCACATTCATATAGCATAAAAATATTTCACATGCATATAGATAAAAATAGATTGAATTTTGAAATTCAATCTGAAATAAATAATATGCAAGATACTTCCATTCAATTTGTAGTTAGTTGAATATAATAGTCTAACATGTTGTTCATTATGTTAGTTTTGTAATATAAGTAGTTTATATATAATTAATTTTTCTATCTGATGAGGGTTCAACTAACCCTCAGCTCCCCAGCCCAGGCTAGCCGCGGCCCTGCCTGGTGAGCCCAGTCTAGCCGTGGCCCTGACTGGCTTGTGCCCCGGGGGACCCACCGACTTGAATGAGTCCCACAGTGGACTCATGGCCTTCCACACTGCTCAACTGTGGGACTCATTCAAGTCGGTGGGTCTCCCGGGGCACGAGCCAGTCAGGGCCACGGCTAGACTGGGCTCACCAGGCAGGGCCGCGGCTAGCCTGGGCTGGAGGGCTGAGGGTTAGTTGAACCCTCATCACTATCCACAACAAAAATCATATATCTGACCAAATAAAATTAAAACAATTTATCTGTATGGTTGTTTACAAAAAGCACTGAAGTTTTCAATACACCGAATTTCGGTTGTTTCACTTTTAATAATTGTCGTATAAGATAAATGCATTCCTTATATTTCATATTCAGGTTTGTTATCATGTTTACGATTAACTTTCAAAACAAGTCAAAACCAATATAAAAATCTTCCTTCCTTAATACATATTGTTTTACTTATTGGTATGATATATGTCTATGCTGTATATAAATTGGCCAATATAGTTAATAATATATTTTTATTTTTATTTTCTTAAAGCTACAAAATTAACATTTGAATCAAGAAGATTCACATGAAGCAGTGCAAATGGAATTTGAAGGAAGACATTGTTTTTGTTTCGAGCCGAACTTTATTGTTGAACCAAACAGACGATATTACTCAACCATTTTAAAGCAAAAAAACCAACTTTCATGGACACGTACATGTAAAAAAATAATAATAATAATAAAAAAATTACATGCACTTTTATAACTACATCTCACAATAATTATTTACATATCAATATGATAATCTTATTACTAACATTTGTCACGATTATTTGATTTTTTTTTAATTAAAGAAGAGATATGATGTATTATTAAGTTTTTGTTTCAAGTTACAAAGTTAAAAGGGAATGAATAATTATTTTTTAAGAAAAAAATTATAAGCGAAAAATGTATGTATTATATATACAAAAACTATCAAATAATATAGAATACGAATTATGATATTCTTATTTAAATAATATATTTTTATAAAAGACTAGTTAATTAATTAAAAAAAAAGTGAAAAGAACGAGATTATGAGCCTTGAAAAAGATTCCTTATTTTCTGACGCCCAAACATGCCCTTTATCGAACTCTCAATCCTCCCACACTTCTTTAAGATGCTCATGTGTAGGGTTTAAGAGACCGAAAAATTTCAGTCGATCGGATTAATATATACGAGAACGTCAATTAACATTTCCATCCTCAACAGTATTTGAACTCCGACTTATTTGCATTCGCAGCTGGCAGGTATTCGCTCCTCCCTATACGAATTAATGCTGTGGGAATTATGGAGTTCATCGTGTGTATGAATATGCTGTATTGATGTATGCATTTCTGATTGGATTGTCTTACTGGGTTTGTTTTTTCTTGGACTGGGCTGAAATTGATTTGATTGCCTCGAGTTTGCATTTTCTTGTTTTGAAATTTCAGTGTTACACCATTGTTGCAAACCCCTCTTCCTTACTTCTGAATATTGTATGTTTAGAGGTTAATATCTGCTATTAGTGGGTACAGATATATCCTCGGTTATGCATATTCGGTTCAATTCGGTTTAATATTGATTTTGATGAACTTCTTTCGTCGTCCGTAGGCTTTAGCGCAACACAGTCTACCCTACCTGATGCCTTTATGTTTTGTTTTCCAAGTTTGTATGTCTTGAGATTTTGTCTTGACATATTTAATTTAAATTTGATGAATAGAAATGCTTTATCCCAACCTATTTGTGTGATTGCATTGCTATGCGGATGTACTGTGTTCAGTTGTTCTTCAGCGCGAAGCACATGAGTGTGCATACAAATACCTATATATGTATATATAATCTTTCATCTTGTATAAATTATGCAAACTTGACATGTCAGATATCCTGCAGTGAGAAGTGTCTTTCTACTACTGCTGGTGAGTTACATTCTGAATCCTCTCCAGTTGTTCCTAAAGTCTTGCAAAGATGGCGAACTTAACCTTGACCGGGATACTTGAAAAGGTAAATCAATGTGACTTTAATAGTTTATTCTAGATTCCCTTTCTGCTATGCTGTTTGATCAGTAGAGGATGGATGCCGATTGCGTCGACCTAATTTGGCTACTGCTGCAATGCAGATGACTGGAAAGGATAAGGATTACAGATACATGGCAACTTCAGATTTGCTTAATGAATTAAACAAAGAAGGATTTAAACTTGATAGCGATCTTGAAGCAAAATTGTCCAACATTGTCATACAGCAACTTGATGATGCGGCAGGCGATGTGTCTGGATTAGCTGTGAAGTGGTCTGTTAATTTTCATTGAATATGTAGCCATGTATTTGTTCGATTTTTTTCTTTTGGTTTTTTCTGTGCCCCCTCCCTAAAACTGATCTGGATTAGTTAGACATTTGCCTTGTTTGCTCTCGGAATTAGCCTTTATTTTGCATTTCCACCACCTGTCTTGAAGATCTGCCTTCTTCAAGAAAACTAGTTTTGAATATCCACCTCTTTTACTCTCTCTATATAGTCAAAATATGACATTTTCGTTGAAGGAAATAATGACTATTTGGGGTCATGTTTGCATGATCATATCAAGTTGCTTAAACTATGAACTCCAATCTCTGAATCTCCTTTCTCTACGTCGCGGTGCTTTTTACCATGGCCCCTAGTTCTATGAGGGGAATACTTAATAACATGTTGAAGTCCGATTTCATTGCCTTGTCGGTATTTGCCCCCTACACCGCACCTTATATGTGGTTTTCTTACCATTGGTCGATTTTTCTTTAATCAAGATTGGATATGTCCGTGAAGCTATGCTTTACAACACATACATGTCCCGTCTGCAATCTTCTATATGTTATGTTGATAATAAAATTGCAATTCCTTTTTGAAGACTCATTGGCTTCACCATGTGGGTGAGGGGTTTTCATATACTTAAGAAGAGCATTTGGTGAAATCAAACTAAGTGGGGATCTTTTATTTTCAGAGGACAGACTTTGTTCAAGTAGCTATTAAGCCTATTGTCATAATGGAAAATATGAAGTGTCATTTTCTGGTTATTTGCATTGCTTGTTGCTTGCTTTCCTATTCTGGATTGGATGTATCCGAATGCCGAAGTGTCATTTTGCATTTGTAAAATGTTGACATTGTGATCTGATTTTAATTTTTCCTGCTATGTAAATTCAAGTTTGGCTCCATTGGTGAAGAAAATTCGCGAGCAGCAGGTTCTTGAAATGACTAACAAGCTTTGTGATAAATTGCTCAATGGAAAAGAGCAAAATCGTGATATAGCTAGCATTGCTTTGAAGACAATTATTGCTGAAGTTCCTACCTCGTCTGTTGCACAATCTGTTCTTGTATCCATTTCCCCAAAGTTGATACGAGGAATAACTACTCAGGTGGGTCCAGTATAATTTCCTCCTACATTTTTTATTTGTTTCTCATGTCAAATCCTATATCAAAGTTAGTCATGCGAAGAAAGTCCAGTAATTTTCTCTAGGGGTTAATTGCAACCAGGAATTTTCACTTGGGGGTTAATTGCAACCAGGAACGCCTCCGCTCAATTTTGGTCTGATGCACTAGAGTAGAAAAATATGAAAATAAAGCATTTGCCGTTGGTCTTTAGACCTGGTCTCAAGTGTTTAACTATGTTTGTTGCGAATATATTTTCATGCACACCTCTCTTATGTCTGTCTGCAGTAGTATATATGCTTTTTAATAATGTTATGTGATCTTCCTCATATATTCATGAAATTTCTTTATCTCCGCCATGATCCTCATGTTATTATTTTTGAATAGGGAATGAGCACAGAAATCAAATGTGAATCCCTCGATATTCTTTGTGATGTTCTCCTTAAATACGGCAATCTAATGGCATCGGATCATGAAGTACTATTAGGTGCTTTGTTGCCCCAGTTGAACACCTATCAAGCCAGTGTTCGAAAGAAGACTGTTTCATGTATTGGTAGGAGTTCCTGAACACCAAAATATCTCAAGATACTCTTTTAATATTAGTTTATTGGTTGACCTTATAATTTGGTTGAGACATAATGATTTAGAACTTGTGATGCAGCATCCCTCGCATCAAGCTTATCAGACGAGTTGCTGGCAAAGGCTACAGTTGAAGTTGTTCGGCTTTTGAAAATTCAGACCACCAAATCTGAAATCACACGAACAAACATTCAGATGATTGGCGCTTTAAGGTATGTCACCAGTTAGGTATTTTCGGACCATCATTGCTTGTGTTTCTATATAATCTTGCTGCTTCAAAATCTTCATTCAAACATCAAAGTTCAAACAATACTGGTTTGTTCGGTGGGATTCATTTTCAGTTGTCGACTTGTTGTAATGGCTAAATATATAGTTTATTCTGTCAGGGATTTCTTATTTTGTTTACTGTAGAAAAGTAATTCGATATTCATCTTTTGTATGCCTGTTAATATTTGACTGATCATTTTCATGAAACTGTGGCTCCAAATATTTGTAATCTGACTTCCCAAATGTGCGGGATGCTCATGGGTTTTGATTGAGAAAGTTAGAAAGTTCGTAAAATAGCATGAAGGGATGTGTGTGCCTAAGCAATCATTATTAAACTGGGTCCATATTATGTGCTTAGTATGGTGGAGTGGGTTAATGAGGTTTCTTGTTTCACTAAGATCTCTTTTGATGCTCGACATAGATTACGGAATGCAATCTATATGGGATCTTTTTCTTCTTTTTAACATTGATGAGGAATTATAGTGAATGGAATTTTTATTTTGTTGGTTTTAAGCCGTGCTGTTGGCTATCGATTTGGCCCGCACCTTGGGGATGCAGTTCCAATTCTAATTAACTACTGCAATAATGCATCGGAGAATGATGAAGAGCTTCGTGAGTATAGCTTGCAGGTACCTAGAAATTCATTGTTACTTCTTTTCTTTTTTCTTTTTCCGCTCAAGTGATTTTTGTTGGGAACAGTAATGAGGATTTACATTTGAATTAGTACCTCTTGAGTCAAATATAATTTTTATTGCAGGCGTTAGAGAGCTTTTTGCTGAGATGTCCCAGGGATATCTCATTCTACTGTGACCAAATCTTGCATCTTACTTTGGAATTTCTTAGCCATGACCCAAATTTCACAGATAACATGGAGGAAGACACAGATGATGAAAGTTATGTTGAAGAGGAAGATGAGTATGTTTGAACGTAATTATCTATTAATGGTTCCATTGTTCTTGAACTATCTGCTAATGGTTTTTAATGTGGCTTGTAGCGAGAGCGCCAATGAATACACAGATGATGAAGATGTCAGCTGGAAAGTTCGGAGAGCTGCTGCGAAGTGCTTATCCGCATTAATTGTTTCTCGCCCTGAGATGCTTTCTAGATTATATGAGGAGGTAATGCACATTACATTCAAAGTTTTTTAGTGCCAATGATTTGAACATGCCTTTTTTATCCATCTCCATTTTGTATTTTCCTTCCAATATAGAGTGAGAAATTGTTTTCCACAGTGAAAATCAGTGACCTGTGTGTTATGCCTAAAATGATTATATTTGATGTACACTAGGACACCCTTCCCCGTCAGAGTTTTCGCGTAGCCTTTTGCATTTGATATTTTTTCCTTCTTGTTAAACTTTTGTATTAGTTTAGCAATTTTTTGATGTCACTTTATAGTAGTTCTCTTTCTTGAGAGAGCCTACTATTTCTGACCTCGTACCTTATGTAAGGTTGTTCCATGGAGGAATGAGTGCTATTGTTAAACTATTCTACGTAAAACAAACCTAAGTGATTTAGATGTTTTAAGAGATCAGACCTTTCTATGACAATAATACTAAAAATGAGATACATCATAACTGTCTTTTCCCTTAAGTTTGCTACGAAAGGCCAATATCAACAATTTTTGATATTAAAAGATTCAATTAAAAATGTGCATACTTTATCTTACTTCAAAATCATTTGACGATTATTGGATACTATTTCTCGATATTGAGCTTACAGGGAACTGTTGTTTTGTTGCTTTATGTTTAATTCATCTTTGGCAGATTTCTGTTGCTTTATCTTTAATTTATGTTTGGCAGATTTCTTACTTTCATTGTTTAATACTGTAATTGGATTAGTTACAGTTACATGGGGATAAGGCTTGGAAGTAGATGTTAAATAGAACCTGTTGTTTATTCTCTAAGTTTTACTTCTGTGTCAAGCTAGCTAGAGTATGCTCATTGACTAATAAAGTATTAAACCATCCTCCAGGCTTGTCCAAAGTTGATCGAAAGATTCAAAGAAAGGGAAGAGAATGTTAAGGTAAGCGGAACAACCAAGTGGATCTACTATAAATGTAAGACTTATAGGTGATTTATTATATGTTATAATGCTGCAGATGGATGTCTTCAGCACATTCATTGAGTTGTTGAGACAAACAGGGAATGTTACAAAGGGCCAGACGGATATTGATGACTCAAGGCAAGTTTATGTTCTTCCATTATGATTTGTCAGGAACTTTTTAATTAATAAATAGGTCTATTGTTCGTGTGATGCAAATTAGAATTGGGGAAATGTTGATATGTAATAAAATAAAATTTTGGCACAACAATCTTCTTATTGATTTACAGACCATGTTGTCTTGTGCGAATAGTCATTCAGGAATCAGGTTGCATATGCATTCAATGATTCAGAAGCGAAGATGATATGGAGAAAGGATTTGATATAAGGATTTGAAATTCACCATAATTCACATTTTATTAATAATACTGTCTGAGAATATGTGAGGTGAAGGATTAGAAATTCTATATTCCACGTAATTATTTAAAATTGCATTCTGAATTTGTTATTGTGGATATGAAATGTTTAACTTCAAATCTTTCCATCCAATGCAACTTCAGGGAACTCAGGAAACTTTGATCTTCCTTGTCGTGTCGTGTTAGTTTGGCTTGTCACCTTGATGATCTTTTAGGTGCTAAATGACAAGCAATACATAATTAGTTACAGGATAAGCTAATTGAAGCCCCAAATTCACTTTTACATTGTTTAAATTGCTCCACGTCATTTCAACGTAGGGGTTAAATCCTGTATCCAGCAAATTACTACTCCCTGCTGCAGATCCATCAATGAGATTGGAGAATTCGTTGAATGATCAATGATGAACTGTGTTTGGGTTGTGGAGGTGGGTGGGCAAATATAAGTTAAAGCTTTAGACTGTTAATATGTTGTAATTATTCTTAATACCTAGTATAGCATATGAATTAACTGAATAAGGTACGTTAAAAAGGATGATGCTCTGGGACACAAACTTGGGTTTATGGTGACCTCTATCCGATTGACTGAAAAATTTACACATGTATGATTGCATAACTTTCTGTAGAATTTTTGTCCTTTTTTTTTTTATCAATTTTAAATTATTGCAAATACTGTAGCATTTTGTTGAAAAAGAATTTTCCACGTGGCAGTAACCAAATGGTAAATTTGTTTTAATCTATTTTTATCCTCTCGTGTCATGCAGTCTCAGATATCTATTGAAACAAGAAGTGCCAAAGATAGTTCGGTCTATAAATAGACAGCTACGTGAAAAATCCATCAAGACAAAGGTACAAAGATGCGACATGCATGCGGTTGTTATGTTTACTCTTGAGCTTCTAAGGTTTTATTCTCTGTTCTTGTCTCGCAGGTTGGGGCTTTCTCAGTGTTAAAGGAGCTGGTAATTGTTTTGCCAGATTGCCTTGCTGACCACATTGGATCTCTTACTACAGGAATTGAGAAAGCACTATGTGTAAGTTTTACCCTCATCTTTCGACATTTGTGTAATTTTGTTTATTCCATATATACGTGTACAGATATTATACTTATTATATTTTTATTCGCAGGACAAGTCTTCTACCTCAAATTTGAAAATTGAGGCCCTTGTATTTACAAGATTAGTGTTAGCCTCACATGCTCCTGATGTTTTTCATCCCTACATCAAGGTAATGGCTAATAAAACTAGTTCAGTTGAAGGAGATTCTCCACTTTTGGGATGTAAATGAGAAATTAATGTTTCGTTTTGAAAATGTTTGTATGTGAAGATCAGTGTTAGAAGGATGCACCGCAGGTTTCTAGATATTAATTTATTACCAACGCCACAAGTCTTTTACAAATCTTGTTTTTTCAATGAGCATGCGGAGGATTTTGCTGGAACGTTGTGGTGATTAAGATTATATGCAGATGGTGTAGAAAATTTCTATAGAATGTATGTTTATTCTCCAATTATTGATGATTGGAGTATTATGCTGGACCATTGAGGTGATTAAGATTATATAGGGGTATATAAAATTTCTGTAGAATGGATGTTTATTCTCCTACGTTTGATGATTACATTATTGGAAGGTAGATCTCTGTATTACAGTAAGTATACGGCCACGATAGGTATACTGTAAGGTCCTGGATTGGGTAAGAATTAATTATTAGGTTTTAGCCAGTTTACTGTAACTTTAGATGTTGATAACGATGTGGATTGTGGAACATTTGTGGTTGTTTGTGATCACTAATTTTCTGTCTTGTTAAATTATTAACACATATAGGATACTATAACAAGTTTTGTAGGCAATGACTTAAAAATCTCATTTTGGTTCTGTACTAATGAAGTAGTCATGTCTTAGGCGATTTCTGCTCCTGTTATATCTGCTGTTGGAGAGCGTTATTACAAAGTTACAGCAGAGGCATTAAGAGTATGTGGAGAACTTGTTCGTGTTGTGCGGCCAAATATTGAGGTCTGCCGTCTCATATCTAGATTTTATTTGGCTGCTAGGAGTTGGGAGGCTCATTCCTGAAAATTTTGTGATTTGTTTCCCAGGGTTATGACTTTGATTTTAAACCGTACGTGCGCCCTATATATAGTGCTATTATGTCACGCTTGACGAACCAAGATCAGGATCAGGTCAGAGACATTCCTTGTGGTAAAATCTGGTCCTCCATTTTAGTTTTCATGTCTTACTATGATTCTCCCACAGGAAGTGAAGGAATGTGCTATCTCTTGTATGGGGTTTGTGGTTTCTACATTTGGTGATCATCTTGGGAAAGAACTGCCTGCATGTCTTCCAGTTCTTGTGGATCGAATGGGAAATGAGATAACTCGTCTTACAGCTGTGAAGGTTTGTTAATAATCCTCTATTTATTTAGAAGCTCTTGGAATATTTTTATTTTTTTTCCTGTAGTTGGTTCTTATTTCCTATTTTTAAACTGCAATGTTCAACCATTAGACACTGTTAAGAATCCACTATTTATGGCGTTGCTAAGCTGTTAGATGATGACGGGTTAGGAAATATGCAATTAAGCATTTATGAGATAGGTACTGCATATTCTGACAACCGACTTCTTTGTGGCTTTTGAATTAAGTAGTGCTCTATATTTAAAAAATGAAGTGTTACAGGATCCAGTTATTTCCATTTGTTTCCTTTTGTGTAACCCATATTGGCTATGATACCTGAAATGTGAGGCAATGTCGGCCTGATTTATGTTTATTTTGTCTCTCTAAACACACTTTGTCTTTTTGTTCGAACTAATATCAAATGCTATGGGAAAATTATGATCAGTCCTTTTGAAGTCATTTCCTCAAAGCTTGATCGATGATGCAATTTATGGAATGTATACTTGTATTAGTCGCATGACTTTCTGTTACTGGTGGGATAACACTGAATTTTACATAGAATATTGTTCTTCTCGCAGCTCTTAGGGAACTGTAGGAAATCACTTTCTTATGTCTGGTTATGAGTTCTGTTCTTGAAAGAAGAAAATTAGTACGTTCAAATTTATTTCCTTATGTGCGAGCTTTATTATTTCTTCCAGGCTTTTGCAGTCATTGCTGCTTCACCTCTGCACCTTGATTTATCTTGCATTTTAGAGCAAGTGATTTCAGAGTTGACGACTTTCCTACGAAAGGTATAACATAACCTACTGTTTTTTTAGACTTTGAATGATTTATCCATCATATAACATGATGATTTGGTTTAAAGGCTGTTGACCTGATCTTATATTTACTTGGAAATAGGCCAATCGAGCCTTAAGACAGGCTACACTGGGGACGTTGAACACATTAATTGTCGGCTATGGTGATAGAATCGGTTCAGCTGCTTATGAAGTCATTGTTGTTGAACTCTCTACCCTGATAAGGTTCGCAATTGTGTTTCTTTTGCTGCTCATTTAGTTGGAATTACCTAAGTTTGCTTCTGGATTTGAAGAAGTATTTGTTGAAAAGCTTTCAAGTCTCCAAATGAGATGGATTTGAATTCCACCATACTGATAAAATAAAATAACGTATAATAGGAGCTAATATGACATTTATTGTAGAATTATCTTATAATTCAAAATTCAATGGATTTTTTTCTTATACATCAAACTCAATGGACTTTTTCTTATAATATGACAAACTCAATGGACTTTTTTCTTATAATTCAAGATTCTCGAGCTTGTAATCCATCAACTGGAATAGAGAATGTGTTTGCAGTTCATAATTTTGCCAGATCAATTATTGATATGATGATAAGGTGGCCCCACTGAATTTGGAATCTGCTAATTGCTTGTTCAGTGACTCAGACTTGCATATGGCTGCTCTAGCCCTGGAACTATGTTGTACATTAATGGCCGACAAAAGATCTGGTCCAAATGTTGGACTGACTGTCAGAAATAAAGTTCTGCCACAGGCACTGACACTAATTACAAGCCCACTGCTCCAGGGGCAAGCTCTTCTGGTACTAATTTCTTGTTTATTGGTTGGTATGCGTTATTGAATGGGTTGCTTGCAAGCTCTATAATAACCTCATCCTTGGAATTTTACAGGCACTACAGAACTTCTTTGGCGCTTTGGTTTACTCAGCTAACACAAGCTTTGATGTTTTGCTTGGCTCTCTTCTTTCAACTGCAAAATCATCTGTCCAGTCTGGTGGTGTAGCAAAACAGGCTTTATTCTCCATTGCTCAGTGCGTTGCTGTTCTCTGTCTTGCTGCAGGCAATGAGAAATGTTACTCTACTGTAAATATGCTTACCGATTTATTGAGATCTGATAGCAGCACCAACTCGGTATGCCATCTGCTGATAGTGGACTTTTGTTTTTTTTATTATCTGGAATGTTGATTGTTAAATTGCTTTTTACTTATTAGGTTGCATGATGGCCAATATGCATATGCACGCTTTCTTTCCTGTTCTTATACCACACCTTATGTTAATCCTAGCGGTTGATTTTCACAAGCCATTAATTCTGATTTCGGTTGTCAACTTTATTTGGAGCACTTGAGGATCTTCTGATTGTACTGCACTTGTGAATTTATCAAATCTTGTAGATGTTAGCCATTGGAAATAGGCTAAAAAATGGTTCCCTGGTAAATAATTTTACTGGTTATGAATGGTATAAACAGAAATTCTGGGAATAGCTGCGTACTGAAACTAGTGCTCTGCTGCTTGTCACTTGTTCAGTGAGGTACCTGCATGCTGCAGACTAATTATAGCTTTATATGCTTTGGATACTTCTTTATTTATCTTGAATGGCACTTTAAAAGATGAATCATGTATTACTGTGACTACATTATTTTCTCTTTTTCCATTTTTTCACTTTAATGACTAGAGTTTCCTTTTTCCATTTTTTCTTTCTTAGGTTGGGTTTTGCCTCTACTGTTCTTGTAATATGTACTGTTCTTTCTGATAGGCTAAGCAACATCTTTCCTTACTGTGCTTGGGGGAGATAGGCAGGAGAAAAGATCTCAGTTCCCATGCTCATATAGAGAATATTGTCATCGAGTCTTTCCAATCACCTTTCGAAGAAATAAAATCTGCTGCATCTTATGCCTTGGGAAACATTGCTGTCGGCAATCTACCCAAGTATTTGCCATTTATCCTGGACAAAATCGATAACCAGCAGAAGAAGCAATATCTGTTACTCCATTCTCTAAAGGAGGTATACTTCTTGTATATTTATTTATTGGTTTGACGGAAATTTAGTAGATTATGGTTTCCTGACTGATAACTACACCTTGGTGAGCACTTCAGGTTATTGTAAGGCAGTCTGTAGATAAAGCAGAATTTGATGATTCTAGTGTGGAGAAGATCACTAATTTGCTTTTTAATCACTGCGAAAGTGATGAGGAGGGTGTTCGTAATGTGGTAGCTGAGTGTCTTGGGAAAATTGCCCTTATTGAACCTGGAAAGCTTGTTCCTTCACTCAAGGTATCTACTTAGAGATTGAGTTATTCTTATAATATATATTCTATATGATCAGTCTTCGGAATAATATGATCTGACATACATATAATTGTAGGAAAGGACCTCCAATCCTGCTGCGTTCACCAGAGCAACAGTTGTAACTGCAGTGAAGTATTCAATAGTTGAGAGGCAGGAGAAAATAGATGAGATTTTGTACCCTGAGATCTCATCTTTCTTGATGCTTATCAAAGACCACGACCGGGTAATTATCAGATTTTCAAAATTTTGAGACAACATTTTCACATTAGAAAATAGAAAGTCCCTTTGATACCTGGATATCTTGACTATAAATTAATTTATTTTATGGTTTATTGGTATGTGTGCAGCATGTAAGGCGAGCAGCTGTATTGGCCTTGAGTATTGCAGCTCATAATAAGCCAAACCTGATAAAGGGCTTACTTCCAGAACTATTACCACTTCTCTACGACCAAACAGTCATAAAGGCAACATAGCTAACCCACTTTCTATATTATTTCCTTTATTTTTTTGTTGGTTTTATCTCTATGTTGCTTTTGTTTCCTGTAGAAGTGTTGATTTGAATTAGTTCTTGATTATTGCAATTGGCTCTTTGCAGAAAGAATTGATCAGGACAGTGGATTTAGGTCCTTTTAAGCACACAGTTGATGATGGGCTTGAATTGAGGAAAGCTGCTTTTGAATGCGTGGACACTTTGTTGGACAGCTGTCTTGACCAAGTGAACCCTTCTTCATTTATTGTTCCGTATCTGCTATCTGGTTTAGAAGGTGAATCATTAATCAGAGGAAGATGAATGATGAATCCATCTCATTAGATATCTATTGTTTCCTCCGGATGCTTTTGATGTGAAATTACCTCTGCCAATTCTACAATGTTTTCGGGCACTTTTAGTTCCTAATTGCCTTTATTTTCCGCTAGTCTCTCAGTACAATTTTCGTCAATTTCAGATCATTATGATGTCAAAATGCCTTGTCATTTGATACTTTCGAAGTTGGCCGATAAGTGCCCATCTGCTGTGTTGGCAGGTATCTATATCGTCATTATATGGTCTTAAATAATTTTGAATTGTCAGCTAAAATGACTATTTCAGTTGGATGTTAATCCAATTTCACTGAATTATTGAACTTCCAGTGTTGGATTCCTTGGTGGATCCTCTCCAGAAAACTATCAACTTTAGACCCAAGCAAGATGCTGTCAAGCAAGAAGTTGACCGTAATGAAGATATGATCCGCAGTGCCCTCCGAGCAATTGCATCCTTGAATCGCATGAGGTATGTATTGTGTTTGAATATATGTATATAGTATATACTGAACAGGATGATAAGACAGTCAAAGGACAAAACTGTCTCTCTAAAGATATATTATCTTTACCCCCTACTGTATTATTACCTCTAATACTATGGTGTTGGTTTTTGCATGTTATTATTTATTGGTTTTGTTCTTTTGTAAACTCCTGCAAATCCCTATCTCATTGCCGTATAGAACCCCTGATCTTGCCTTCTTTTGTTATGTGCTGGTATATTGAATTCTCTCTTTATCGACACTATCTCATGGGTGTAAACAGATATTATTTTGTTTAGCTACGTTTTAAATCCAGGTGTGCTTCATTGTATTGTTTTCTGTGTTTTGGAATTTGCAGTGGAGGAGATTGTAGCCATAAGTTCAAAAATCTGATGAATGATATAGCCAAGTCGCAAACACTGTCCGAGAAATACTCCTCTATAAGGAATGAATGAATGAGAGCCGGTCTATGCTGTGGAACTTTAGATAAAAACTTGAGTGATTGAGAGGCTAGAAGATGGGTCCCGTGTAAAGTGGGACTAGCCTAATTATGCATTGTGAAACACTCGTGACCATGCTGACTAGCGGCTACAGTTAAAGTAGACAAACTCTTCCCCCGTTGAGAAAACCAGTGGCGTATTATATGATCTTCCCATCCTAAGTTGTTTTTTTGCTCTTGGATCCTAGAACCTACAGCAGCATTCATTTTGTGCTTTCGCATTGCCTTTTGTGTTGATTATGGTTCTGGTGCTATGTAAATTGAAGATGTTGCAAATTTTACCTACTCGATTATTTGGTTTCTTTCAAGGTAATCGGTTCAATGCAAATACATTTCCTTATCGCTGGTAAGTGCGAGTAAAATTGCATGTAGTAGATCCATTTTTTTAAGATGACAAGCATCTCAGTTCCAAGGACTAAAAAACCTTCATTTAGCTAGTCCAAGGTTACATTTCTACCCAAAGGTAGCACCAAATATTAAAAGTTAATACCTTTGGGCAACAATAATTTCATCTACTACCAACATAAAGGAAATGATACAACCTTTTGAAAGTGTCGAGGAAGGAGGGTATGAGGATATGATCTTGGACGTGGACTCCCACCATGGCGGACATGTGATGCTGTAGTTGTTGATGGATTGGGCTTTGAGGGTGTTGCCGGGGGTGAGGCGTGTGTGGTAGCGTACACGGCGAACTTGTTGGCAAATATGGCCACGCCGATGACGGTGTTGCAGGAGACCAGGCCAGGAATCTCAACAGAGGGATTTCTATGACTTTTGGGATTGAAAAAAAAAATCTGAGAGAGGGTAGTAGACTGTATAAAGAGATTGATGTGGAGGTGCCGCGGGATGAGAAGCAAAAAAATCTTTTCAAACCCACTGGCCTCCAAAAAGTTACGTAGAGCAGGGGTATTTTAGTCATCAAATTGAGTAAAAACTGTTCACCTATTGGCCTAAAAAAGTTCTGTTAGAGCAGGGGTATTTTAATCATCAAATTGTGTAAGAAAGACCCACGTGTAAAGTTATAAGGATTTCTATTTTCTTATTAGTTTGTTACCGACTCTGCACGCCACCACAGTCGAGCCCATTTTTTTGTTACTTGTAAAGTGCACGTTTGATACACGTGGCGGTGAATGTTTTTAGGTGATAAGTTTAGTAAAATTAATTAATTAATTTATTAAACATATTATTGCACGAACAAAATAAAATATAAAACAATTGAGCTCTTAATTTATTTTTTTTTTTAAAAAAAAAAATTTCATAATCATCTCTTTATATAAAAAGAATGAAATAACATATTAAAATCTAACAAAAATACTTGAAATATGAGTCCCTAATTAAAATAAAAACACTAAATAACTAACATGGACATAATGTATAGTATAGATGTATTAGTTTTATGTTAGATGATTCAAAAGTAATTTTCTTTCATTTTGGTTTTGACATTCTCATAAGTAATATACATACTCGTTAGAGCTCAATACATTATTCTACAACTTGAAAAGGGAAATTTACACATATATACTCCTTATAATAAGTACACATATACGTTCCAATTAAACTTTCATCAAACTTGGAGCTATATATGTCAGTTTGATGAAAGTTAAACTCTCTCCATGCATTAATTTACGGTTAAAAAATCGTCGGAACAAAGTAACAGTAAAAAAAAATAAAAAAATTACAAATCTGATAGCTATAATTTAGGGATTCAGGAAATTCAAAAATTGAAATGGGACTGTCTGTATGTTGAATTGGAAAAAATAATTGTCCATCCAGTTGTTTATCGAAAAAAAAGCTAAGATCCCGATTGAGAATAGAAAAAAAATTTGGTAGAGCAAAAATTCGGTTAATCGATATCTTGAATTTGGAAAAAAAAAATCGTCCAACAACCAAATATATGTTCAGATATAATGTATATATATATATATCTGATAAACATGATATGACAATTATCTATTATTAACCGTATAGTTATACATAAAATAAACAACATATAAACAATTCTACGAAGGGATTAAACATAATACACAATTCTGAATGACTGCAAATATTCAAATCGAATGTAGTTATACACAGGATAAACAACATGTAAACAATATTGAAACGAGATTGATTGACCTCACCACTCCCAACGTCACCCCTTCATCTCCTCAACGAGCCCCGGTGCATCTTCGACGTTGCTTCTGGTTGATAGACGAGGAGATGTCTCTCAGCCGAGTCTACAATTGTACAATTGCGTGACAATCGGTGACCACTGGAACAGAACACCGCAAAGTCGATCTGGGGCGCAGACTACCTCTCATGACCTATCGCAGGCCGTCCAACAACCACGATTAGCACACCGAGGTTCGTCGGTCGTTACGTCACTCTCAGGGCTGCCGTTCGGGTCGCCAAGGTTAATGCAATTCGTGAGATAGTGGCAAAGAAAGGAAATTAAGGGAAGAATTTAATGAATTCTTGGTCCGCTAGTTTGGTGGTTTTTGATCTGCGAAAAGAAGAATAAGGAGGAAGGAAAAAGGAAGAGAGGTAGAGGGTAATGTTTGAGCTAAATAAACAAGATGAGATTTTTACGGTTTGGGTGAAAAGATATGGTGAGAGAAAAATTTGCTACATACTTGCTTTAATTTATTAAATTTCGTACTTGTGAATTTAAGTTAGAGATATCGTAGATTTAATAATATTTTGTATAAGATGAGCAAGGGGAGTAATTTTCTCATTTAAAAATGTCTACTTTATTCACACTTAGAATATTCTGGCAAAACATATTCTCATGTTTATCGCATAGTTTATCACATGAGTATTTTATATTTTATCACATGAAAAAAAATGCTATGTAATGTTGTGTAAGAGTTCAATATGAATCAAATTCTCAACCAAAAAAACTTATATTTCCATAAATTATAGACGTTGAACTTAAATTATGAATACATAAAATATCTTTTTTTTTTTGTTTATTTTTTTAAAAAAGTTTGAAGGTGATACAACTTGTAAGTTTTTAATAGTAAACGTATCAATATTTATATTTATAGTAAATACATTTTCATATGAAATGAGTGTTTTGACTTAAACTACAAGTTTGTTATTTAATATTTAAATTGGACCCTCTTCGTTAAAATTTCTAGATCCGTCACTGCTTTCGCATATCTTATTGCATAACTGTTTCGCACTTTATTAATAATCTCCACCTCTATGTCGCATAGCTTATCATATAATTTATTTCGTATTTTACGGGATGAAAAAAAAATCAACTTATTATTTGGCCGTGCGAAAAACTTATTCTATATTCACATGGAGATAAAAAATAGTTATTTCCTGTTCTAATTGTACCTATTTATGAACTGGTTCTTTACCTTGGAAAAGGAAAAGGAAAAGGAAAAGGAAACTGATTGTACATTATATGAACTGATTGATGTGTGACGCAAGATGAGGGAATGTGGCGAACACAAGTGCCGCAAGTTTTGGCATCAATTGAGGCTATTTATGGATTGACCACGAATTCACAGGGTAAAATGGGATGTTTAGTCAAAGGGCCAACTTAGCAAAACAGTGTAAAACAAGAAACCATAGCCATGGATTGGGTAGTGGGAACACTACTAAAGCCATCTGTGGAGGTCTTCTGTTTGCGCACAATTGCAAATAATGCATTTGGATTGGAAAACTCAAATTTCACCCAATAATTTGTGAAAAATGTCACTTACATGTTTTTTTTTTTTTTTAATGGCGATCTCTACCTATATATTAATAGACTTTTACCTGCATCAATTAAATCTTTTAAGTTATAAAAACTTTGTCCACATTTTTTTTTGTACAGGGACCTTTCGGTTTCCGGATCCACAGGGGAACCGACTAATCCGGAATCGAGCCGGGTAGGACCACAAGGGCGGCAAAGCTTTCCCTCAAGAGTTTTAACACTGCTGCATTCCTAGGGCTCGAACACGAGACCTCTGGTTAAGCTGGAAGAGACCCAAACCATCTCATCCAAGCGCTCTTGGGTAAAACCTTGTCCACATTGATAAAGCACATATATTATGTTTGTGTAAAATGGTCTCATTTAGCACGAATTAACCGGTCATAGGAGTAGACCGGGTAAAATGGGTTAGAGTAGCTCCCATGAGTTCTCTTGGAGGTGGCTCAGACAATGTGATTAAGGTGGTGATTGTTTATAGTTTCAATAGTAAAAAAACTAATTTTTATTTAGTTTATTTTTAACTATAGTAAATTTTGAAAAAAAGGTGGTGTGGTTAGTTGTTAGTGGATATATTAAAATAATATTTAAATAAAATAATTAAAGTTGATTTGATGTAAAGTAGGAGAAAAATGATTGGAACTGATAGTTAGTTAGAATTATGTGAGTGAATGAACAGTGAATTAAAGTTGATGTGATGTGTAAGAATGATTGGTTGATATTATTTAATTATATTATTAATATTGAAGATAGTGAGGTACAGTTAAAGTTGAGTTAAATTTGAGTTTTGATTGGATTTTTTACTATTGAGTTTATATACAATCACACCCTAAGATTCCAATAGCTCGGACAACATATCAATACTCCAATAGCTCGGGTAGCAAGGTGTTAGTTCGGATAGAAAGGCGTTAGCTGAAAGCTTCATGCAAACTCCCAACTACCATTGATATGTTCATACACCATTTGTCAATGGTGGTGTGCTCTTGTCAATGATGGTGTACTAACTCTTGTCAATGGTGGTGTGCTAAAGCTTGCATATAAATAAGCTTCTCATTTCATTCATTTGAATCCTCCTAGAGTGAATTGATAATGAGAATTGATTGAGTGTTGTGAGTTTTACGAGATAGTATCTCGTTTATCTTTCCCACTCATACGCTTTCCCTACATCAGTTGGTATAAGAAGTCAGCACGATTCAAGATGCCGCCGCGGAAGGACGACATCGACGGCGTGACGCCAGCATTGAGTATCCGGGTCGACAAGTCACGGGCTTCGA